GTTGTTTAGGGCTGAAGTATTTTATTAATGTCAGTTATATTCAGTTAGTTGATAGTGTTGTCGTTGATTTTCTGTCTAGTTGTTTAATCAACTATTGAGAAAGGAATGTTGAAGTCTTGAGCTATATTTATAGATTTGTTTAATTCTCCTTTCAGTTCTATCAGGTTTTGCTTCACATATTTATGCAGTTTTGTTTGGTGCATTCACATACAGGAGTGCTACGATTCTTGATGTGTAGGCATTTTTATCATCATAAACCTCTATGTCCCTGGACATTTCCTTTACCTGATGGTTAACTTACCTGATTAATGTTTGAGTGGAATATCTTTTCCATCCTTTCACTTTCTACCTACCTTTTTCATTATATTTTCAGTGAGTAATTATAGACAGCATACAATTTGATCATGTTTTTTATTCCATTCTGACAATCTCTGTTAATTGGTGTATTTAGACAACTTACATTTAATGTTATTGGTATGTTAAAGCTAAGCCTTCCATTCGTTGTTTTTCCATTTGTTCTTTCTCCATTTTCTCCTAGCCTATATGGTTTCTGAGGAGAACGTTGCTGCCATTCAAGTTATGTTTTCCCTAGAGTGTTGTTCCCCTGAAGTTTCTCTCTCACTGCTTATAAGATTTTTAATGTGTTTTCAGAAGATTGTCAGCAGTCTGTCTTGGTGTGGATTTCTTTAGGTTTATCTCTTTGGGGTTTGCTCAGCTTCTTGTACTTGTAGGTTTATGTCTTTGCCAAGTTCAAAAAGTTTTCAAGCATTGTTTTGAGAAGTTTTTCCGATTTTCTTCTTTTGAGACTCTGATGGGATGAATGATAGATCTTTTGTTATAGTGCCACAAGTCTTGATGTCCTGCTCATTAGCTTAGTCTATTTTCACTCTGTTGAGATTGAGTAATTTCTATTCTATTTTCAAATCCACTGAATCTCTCCACAGTCTCTTCCATGCTGCTGCTGAATTTTTTATTCATTCATTTATTTTTATTTTGTTTTCAACTTTCTACCTGATTTTTTTATATCTTACATTTCTCTGTAAGACCTTCTATTCTTTGTCACATTTTACATTTCTGTTATTGTACACTTCTCATTTCTAAAATTTCATTTGTTTTTTCCTTATACTCTCTATATAAAAATATATATGTAAATAATATATACCCCATATACATAAATAATATATAAAAATATATTTTTTCTTTGCTGAGATTTTCTATTTCTTTACTGAGACATTCTATTTCTTTTTATGTGTGTCCATAATTCTCAGTAGAGCACTTGCAAGATACTTGTTTTAAAATCCTCATTAGATAATTCTAACTTCTCTGTCATGTTGATGCTAGTATCTGTTAGTTGCCTTGATTCTTGGTGTGGTGAATACTTTTACAATGAAACCTGGACATTTTGGGTATTACCCTATGAGACTAAGATCTTATTTGAATCTTTTGTTTGAACTTGTCCCCTCCAACACCACTCAGATAGGAGAAGAAGGGGCCCGTTATAGACAGGTGGAGGTGAAAGTCTAGGTTCCCTGTTTAGCCACACTGACACTCTGGGTGTGAGGGTTCTTTGTTGCTGCTGGACAGTGGGGAGAGTTTCAGAGTTTCAGGTCCACCCCCCCACCCCAGACCTTCACTAATACCACTCTGAGTTCAAGGGGCAGGAGTGCCTTGCTGCTGCTCTCCATTGACACTAGTAGGGGTCAGTCTTGTTACCAACAGTTGTGTGTGGAAGTTCAGGCTCCCCCATGGCCTCCAGTGGTATTGAGAGGTCAGGGACCTCACTACTGTACACTAGGAATGAACGTTCCAGCTTCCAATCCTACCTTCTCTGATGCCTTAGGTTGGGGGAAAGAAAGGGATTATGAGCACCTTGTTATAGTCTAGTGAGAGTAGAAGTCTAGGCTCCCTGCTTCTCTTGGTAGGGTAAGGTTGGGGCCACTGGTTTTTCTGTGGTTTTTGGCTAGAGTAGAGCTAGTATAGCTTAAACTCATCTTTCGTGCTAGGCTGCCTCTTTCCTAACCATTTGGCTAGAGAGAACGAGCTCCATTTGGGGCTGTTTTTGTCCACACCTGTTAGAATTTCCAGGTTGTCAGCTTGTCTAGCTCCAAGTCTGGGATATAAGAGGCCAAGAGAAATGTCAGGGAGCTCACCACCATATTGTCCTTTAGTCCCAAGACCTCATCTCATCTGCTTCCTTCCCTCCATATGTCATCCACATTTCAGAATCTTCTTATGTTTGTTTTATATAAAATATCCAGAATAATTTATGAGGAAGAAAAAAGAGAAGTACTTCTCTCTATATACAGAAGTGGAAGTCCCTCAACATGTAATTTGATTTTCTAAGTTATAAGAATAATTGTACTTTATTTGGAGAAATAAGTGAAAGATGTAATTCAACGTTTTTAGGCCTTTACATATATAAATTAAATATAAATGTAAATATATGTTTACAAATATAATTTAAATGTAAATCTACATATTTAAATATCTCTATATAAGTAAATATAATATATGGTTTAATACTGTATTATACATTGAATATTATACAATATATATTATATATATCAATTACAAAGGAAACTATTTGTTGAAATCAATAATGTGATAATTATGGCTTAATTCATACATAAAACTTTTGAAAAAAATCAAGACAAAAGTAATTCCCCCCAAACATGGTCCAAAATGGTATGTATGTATTTTTCTACATACATACTTGTTATATGTTCAATTTGGGAACTGCTTATTGTATGCCTACTGTATTCTTAGCACATTTAGACTTCCTGTAGAATAATATATAATTAGGCAGAGGCTTGGGCTTTATTCACAAATGTTATTAAGGATCAAAACAAATTAAGTGAATCTGTGAAGATCAAAATTTAAAGGGAGAATATTTCAAAGAGATAGAGCTATCAAGATAGTCATTTGGTGGAAATTAAGATGAGATTTTTTAAAAAATGGTGTATCTTACTTGGTTGGATGCTGAGGAATTGGAAGATCATTTTAGAGATGAGAAATCTTTACCTGAATAAAGGCTTGGAAAAACATGCAGCCTGATATGTTTGGGTGATCACAACCAGAACAATTGATGACTTGACTGTGGTGGGAAAGGTCCAGGTCCATAAATGATTGGAACAGACTCCACAGTGGAGGAAAGACAGGCCCTCATTAGGGGAAGACTGACTGTGGTGTTTAATTATAGACTTCCACCAACGGGACCCCATAGGGGAGCATCCCATCCATCAATACCCACACTGCATTAATAAGCAAGGAAAAGTCATTGCAAATTCCAAATTTGGAAGTGGCATAATAAAAATGATGCTTTAGAGAAGCTATTAGCCGTGTAAATTTGAATGGTTTTGCTATAGTTACAACCAGGTGTGAAGCAACAAAGCTCAGTGCTTTCCTTCTTCAAGACCACGGTTCACCGTCTTCTTCCATATCCACAGTAGAGCACTGGAATGAAAATTTGTTGATGGCCTTTACTCTGCCAGACACTCTGCTAGATAGCATCTGTGTGCTTTCTCATTTAGTCTGCACAATAGCTCTTAAGGTATTATTCTTGCTATCCTGTGGGGCTGGGGGTTTTCTAAGGTCTCATGGCCAGGATTGAAGCTCAGGCTCTTAACACTGTACAGCATGTCATCTTGGTCCCTAGTATGGTGATGGCTGAGTCACAAGCCATCAGTTCTTGCTGACTTGAGCTCGTGTTACACTCGGGCAGCTCTTACCTTCCTTTACTCACTGCTTTATCACCTACAATTCAGCTTGTAAAATATGATAACAATTTCATGCTGTGCTACTGTGGGAACAAAATCCATATTTCTTCCCCTTCCCCTGCATTCAAGGCAGTGTCCCACCAGACCTTCAGTTTAGGGTTCTGAGGGCCTGGAGAGCATAGAGGTTGCTCCTATCAGTCGGTGGACAATTAGGAAACTGGACTTTGATTCATTTCCCAAGCTAACATGTAACCATGCTGCTGATTACCCATTTTCATTGTTTATGGCGAGGCAGGCGGATGAACAGCTCTGGCTGATTTATGAAGTGCTTGCCTTCTATAAATCACAGAGTAGAAACCCAGCACGCTGTTAATCCTAATTGGTTAAGTCCTAAGTAGGGAGTGATTAGAAAGTCTTCAGGAAAGAAGGTACCTCATGCAAATGAGATAGATATGCAGTTCATTGGGAAGAAATATCCCCTGCTCTCAATATGTGGTCAAGGTTTGTTGTCCATTCCTGCTGTACCCTTCTACCTCTTGCTGGTCAGCCCCTGCTGATCTTCCATTTGTAAATAAACTAACATAAACGGCAGAGAAGGAAGATGATGGTATGCACAAACATCGCAGAAAGAGAATGCTGTTTGCCTGCCTACTCTCTCCTGTATTAATTTCAACCCGGATTAATTGTCTAATTCTAACAAACCATCCATCATAATGAACAAGAGCTATGCAATGAGTCATAGCGCTGTGAGTTGCCATGGAACACATTAGGGCTTTTGGTCTTAGCTACCCAAATTCCAACCCCACCCTTCCCTGGACACAGTTGACGTGACATTCTCCAATACTCAGTGACAGTGACACCCTTCTCTGATGTTTCACTTTGAGCCAAAAAGAACTTGAAGACCTTAAATGCATGAGGTTGTCCACCTCTTCTGATTGAAAATCTTCTGATCAGACTTAGAAATGCAGACTCTACTGGCAAAGGACAAAGGAATCCCACAGATTTTATGTGATTTCCCCTGCCATCTCAAAACAATGATTGAGGACACAGGGACTGTGTATGGGACATGTTTAAAGGAGCAGGGGCTGTTGAGATGCAGACTCAGGGAAGACAACTTTCCTTCTCCCTTTCCAATCTACTATAACTGCTCCTTCCTTTGAGTAACTTCTCTTTTCATTTCCTTCTCCTTTCTCCACCCCCCCCCTCTGTTTCTCTCCCTTCTGTATTTTTCATCCCTTTCCCTTCCTTCCCTCTCTTCCCCCGTTTCCTGGAAACCCACGGCAGACGTAGCAGCAGCAGCAGTGTGACCTCAGAACCGGATGATGAGCCCCCCTGCATGGAGGAAATTGATTACAGTACAGACGGCAGCTCAGACCTAGAAGGGAGCTTCTCTGAGCTGGACCGGCAGATCCAAGAGTGTGCTTTCAACACGGACGAGGAAGGGGAAGAAGAAGAGGGGCCAGGCCAGGGAAGAAAAGCCATCCCTTAGCCCTGAGGCTCAGAGTGAGCTCCATGTCTCTAACCATGGGACTAGCAGCTTTGTTGTTTCTTCACCATCAGACTTGTACAGCATCGGTGGCAAAAGCCAGCCCGTGTGAGCCCAGCAACCGAATGCCAGATTTTGTTTTAGTTTCACCAGGCATAGAGACTGGCTACATTACAATTCTACCTTTTACATACATAGTTAGATGGCCTTTGGAGCCCACGCAAGCTGCCATTATTCTAGAAAGGGCTACTCTCAGGATTATCATGGATCTTCTCATCACTATTTTGAGCTCTTCTCCCTTTCTGTGCTTGAAACTGGAGCTGACTGCAAGTAGGAGCTGGGCTTCTTTTTGACTTCTCAGCCAGATTTCTCTATGGTTGTCTAAGCTGTTCTACATATGAGTGTTCTCTCTGATAGTTGTATTCCTACTATAGCATCTGAACTCCTCAGCACAAATTATGAGCCCCATTGAGAACCTCTGAGGGTCCTAGCAGGGTGGTCTTCAGTTGCTGAATTATTGAGCCTGAATGGCCACACAACAGAGGGGAATTTGCAAGCATCATGCTTAGTCTGTTTTAACAATATATATTTTACAGATCCAGTATACCCAGAAACTGTCCTAGATTCTAAGGGAAAAGGCACAGCACCAGTAAGACATGGCCATTGGTCTTTACAAACTTTAAAATCCTATGAATTCAGGCCACTAACCATGATGCTGGAAAGCAGCAAGTCATGGTGGAAAAATCATTCATTTCAGATGGAGACAGATGGGGCTCTAATCCTGGATTTGACAGTCAGTTGTTATGAGAACTAAGGCAACTAATTAGATTTTCCCAAACCTCCATTTTCTTGTATGTACAACAGAGATGAACATTATCTATATGATAAAGTTATTATGAAGATGAAATGAGTAATATATAAAAGTATACAGATTGGCCCATGGTAGGTACCCAATAATGTTGGCTGGTTTTCCTCCCTAACACAAGGAGAACATTTTGCATAGGCATTCTCACAGTTACAGAAGACATCACCTGCAGTCACATGGTTAGAAGGTACTCCCTCTTCCTGGAAAGAATCTGGGAAGGAGGTTACAGAGAAGCAGAGTGTAGGAGGTTGAAATGTCATAAAGTAAGTGAAATGGAGTAAGGCAAATAGCTTAGAGACTGAGATGATCTTTAACTGGACAGGACCCAAGCAGAAAGTATGAGAAGGCAGATACTGAAATGAGAGATAATGTGGAGAAAATACGGTAGGTGGAATTGATGTTTGTCCAGATGCCATCTATATTTAGTTATGATTAGGTTTAGCTATAAGAAAAGGAGAATCCAAAATTGCAGTACCTTTGTAAAACAAAATCTGTTTATCTTCTATGTGGATTCCAGATATAGGAAGGCCAGAGCTGGTATCATGAGTACCTGGTGTCCAGCACCCAGTTTCTATGGCTTTTTCGCTTTGCTGCTTGTTGCTTCTGTCTAGCCAAAGATGGCTACCAAAGCATCAGCCTTTGCATCTACGTCCCAGTCAGCAATAAGAAGGATAGAGAAAGAAGAACTCATTCTCCATATTTCAAAAAAGTTATACATTGCACTTCTCCACAATTCCACCATCTAACAAGTGGTCCTGTGGCCACAGGTACCTGCAAGAGATGTTGGGAAATATAATCTGTGTTTGAGTCGGGCATAGGGAAAAGAGGATAATGCATACTGGGGATCAAATATTGCCAAATACTTCTCTTGATAAACCAATCACCACCATGAGATTTTGGAAACAATAATTTCAGAAAAAACTCTCAGCAGCCCTCTAGACCAGCAGAAAGCCACACTATAAGACTTTGCCATAACTTAGCCCTGAGGCATAGGAGAAAGGCAGGTGTGTTATGATTTGAAGAGCTGATAATATTATTCTATGATAATATTATTATTACTTTTACTGCTACTACTACTATGACTGATAATCCCTTCTTTTTCCAACTCCTTTCCAAATTTCCTTGCTATAGTTCAGAAACCACATATCCATTCTTGGTGTTAAGACACTCAAATGTCTGAAACATATATAAGAGGTTTAAGGGAAATAGAAAAGACACCACATTCAAATCCCAGATAACAGGAGGGCTTAACTGCTCTTATAAAACTTTCCACTCTTAAATAGAGGATAGCAAAATGTTTCTGTTCTCCCCTTACTTGGAGGGGTCAGGAAGACAGTTGTGTTGAAAACGTAAACATTGGGAGGGATGGAAATAATAGTGACTCATCATCGCCACTTTATGCCTCAGCTGGCATTCATTTATGGGGTAAGCTTCCAGTCACCTGACATTGTTTCTGAGAACAAGTGACCCAGACATGAAAACTTCTATGTAGCAGGTTTAGGAAAAGCTGGGGACATGGAACATGTGATTGATTCATGTAACAAACATACATTAAACACCTACTGTATGTCGTGTATTTCACTAAGCCCCAAGGATGCAGGGGAAAGGAACTATTCTGTTTGCAAGTGGGAAAGATGAGCAGTAAACATCTTAATACAGTGGCTCACACCTTTGTAGAACTCTGGAGAAGATCATCTAATGGGGCAGTGGTGGTGGGAAACGTCTACCGAGAGATGATAATTGAGGTGATGCTTGAAGGACTCGCAAGAGTTGTCAGGTAAAAAGGAGAAGGAACATGCTAAGGAGTAGAATGACTTTGTGCAAAAGCCCTGTGGTGGGGTTAGAGCTTGGAACAAAATCATGATTGTGACTGGTTTAAAAGATGTGTTTGTATGTGGGGATGGGAGGGGAGTGACAAGAGATGAACGTGAGAACATTGGCCTCAACCTGATCAAGGAACATTGGACATGGAAAGGCCTGGATGGGAAGGTTGGTCTTTGTTCTGAATGTGTTGGCGGAGACAAAGAATCTTCAGCAGAAGCATGCCCAGGAATGATGTCTGCGGGCATCATCAGGACTGCTGTCCCACTTGCTTATGACCGACTGACTGGATACTCTGCTATGGTGGTAGCTCGGTAATATGAGAGCCCTCAGTGTGACATGACCCTCTTTGTAGATAGCAGGTTTTCAGTAAGAGGAGAGATCATGAGTGCAGTTTGGGGTCATGTTCAATATTGGGCGCCGATGACAGGTCCATCGGGAAAGGGCTCCTAGAAGTGCATCAGCAGAAGAAGAGGCATAAACAGTGAGATGGGGACTGGTGGGAGTCTTGAGTAACTAAGCCCAGGTGCCAGTCAACTGAGGAGGAGTTTGCTCGGAGGGAACAAAAGAGTTAGAGAGCTGACTTCCGTCCCTTCTCACTGGAACTGAAGACCACTGTGTTCTACACCTCACTGATTTTCAGTCTGGGGGGAGAGAGGGCTCACTGGCAAGTCAACTCCAGATAGTGATAGGAGTGGCTTTTCCAGCCCGGCCAGACATGTGTCTTGCTGGCCAAACCACTATAGTGAGTTGTTCTGAAAACACTCTTCCGCCAAACTCAGAGCCAAACAAGATTACTCAAGGATTCCAGGCAGTGATGGGCTCTAGTGGGAAGCAGATGTGGTTCAAAGTGTGCAGGGGGGATGCGAGTCTGGAGCACTGATGCTGGAGCCAGACCATGGGCACAGGTGTGCCAGACCAGCTGGTCCACAGTGCCCTGCCTGGCAGGGCTAGGACAGGAAGGGGGTGAGCAGTGGGGCTGCAGTTTCCTGGGGGGTAGCCTTTCTCAGATGGGCAAATGTGGGTAGCTAGCCTTTTACACCTCTAGAACATCCCATTTGGGGTAGAGAAGTATAAGGCTTCTTGTGATCCCCTAAGGATCATACTTTCAGGATCCCCTAAGGGTGGAATCTGCTGGCTGCTCTTGACACTTCCCCATGGCAAAGGACTTTTTAGCTCCATAGTTCCCACAGAAGAAAGAGCCCTGCACAACCCAGCCCCCAGTCTTCTCTGCTGACTCAGTTTCTGCTTATCTGCAGTCTCTTCCATTTGCCATGGGACATAGCTTTATTTTATCTCACTGCACATATGTGTTTGTGAACACGCATAGACACACACACAGATGCATGCACACACGTACACACACACACCACACACACACACAATCATTTCTCGAGCCACAAAGCTCCCTAAATACCTTCTATGATTTTTCACACATTTTCACATTTTTCCTCTGTCTCTGATGAGCATCTCCTGTAATGCGATTTGGGCATTTCAAGACCCAGTTCAAATAACACGTTCTTTCTATTAGACCTTTCCTAATCAGCCCAGCCAAGTTCTAGAATCTCTCATCTAGGTCTCTGCTGCACTATTTCTACGTCCCTCCTGAAGGGTGCTCTTTATTTACAATTTTATTCATGGGGTTTGCATAGCCTCACCCCCACCGGCCAATGTGTGGAGAACTCTTAAGACACCTGGGCCTGATGCTATCTTACCATCTCTTCCTGCAGCCGGCATTCGTCTTGATACATTGGCGGCAGTCAAAATATATCTTTCCCCAACCTCAAACTTGAACATCCAATGTTTCAGTGAAATCCCATATATTTCCCTTCGATCCTTCCTCTCCCATCTCAAATCAGAGTTTATGTTACAGAAAAGGTAACTGATTTCACTAACAGGGCATCGAGCACAGGCACACTTCAGCCTCTCAAGCTGATGGCTCCCGTGGAAGACTGGTTCCTGTGTGAGGCAAGCCTGAGAAGGAGCAGAGTGGCCTTGCCCTTGCCTGTATTGTGCAAATGTTTAGCTAGAGCAGAGAGAATGGGGGAGCAGAATCCCCAGGCGTTGCCAATGACTGCAGGATTTAGACAGGTGCTCTGCACCGAGGACTGCCTTTGGTGGGAACGGGCATGGGGCTTTGTGTGCTTCATGCCAACTTGGCCGCCTGGGGCCTTCTTACAGTCCTGTCTGTGAGACTCCAAGCATTCCAGCCATTGGCTCCCATTTCTGCGAGGCCTCCAGAAAAACAAAGGGTTCAGAGCCACAAAGCACATTTGAAAATAACCGGATTCTTGAGTTATGGGCTCACATTGAGGGATGCCAGCACTCGTCAGGTCACATGACACCCCTAAGAGGAGAAGTTCTGATTGCCGGCTTTTATTTCGCAGCCCGGACAGCTGAGCTGCCGAAATAATTTCATATTCCAAGGGGAGCCTCTGCTCTCTGCCAAGGGAAGGAGCTTCCATGGAACGCCTGACATAAGTCATCCTTGTTAGGGACTCAGGACAGTGGCCTGTGTGGTGGGTGTGAACATTTGCATTTGCATTAGAGTGATAGATTCCTTTTGCCCTGCTGGTGCAATCCGCTCCAGCCCCCTAAAGGCTCCAGGCTTGGAAAGGCACAGAGACAGTAGCCTGGGTCCTCACCACAAGAGCTTTTTTTGGGCAAAAAGTAATTCATTAGGTCTGGGGCTTGCTGCTGTCTTCCCAACAGATGTCCTCTTTTGTTCCTGTTGTGGTTTGGCTTCCTGAGTGCCCAACTGATTCTTGATTAAAAAAAAAG